TTAGGAGTGTTTTCCAGTCCAGTCTGTTGGGGCACCAAGCCCTGGCCCCAAAGTCCACCTTCAGCATTCCCTGGGGACCTCACCACTCCGTTCCCTTGCTGTTCTGTTGCACCCCCTTAGGGTTTTACCTCGGTGTAGCGGAATCAGATCAGGTGCGATTCCCACATTGTGTCTCCGTTGTTGTCCCCCGTAGGGCCATGGGTCAGTGAGGCGTATATGTCTTATAGTGGGGCCAGCTGTGTGGTCCTCTCTGTGGACTGGATGCGCTAATCCGGGAACATCGTCCTCGTGGCCTGGTGGGCCAGGATGTGCTCCACTCTCTCTCCTCCTCCCCCTTCATCTGCTCCCGTGTGCTCCAATCAGATATTCCCTCTCCGGGAGCTGCAAATTCAATGCCGTCCTTTGAAATAAATTCTTCTTGGGGGAGGGGCAGGTGTCCACATAGTAGTTGGGATTGGGGCCGGCCCCCCAGACCTCTCCACTGGTTCCCTACTCCACGCCGGCATGTTGCATTCACATCTTGGAGCACCGGGTTGAGGTCTGGTTTTGAACAGTTTTATTGGCACCTCATCCACATATCACACGATTCAATAGTTCAATCTTATCAAGAAGAGTTACACAGTCGTTACCACAATCAATTTGAGAACATTTGCTTCTTCCTTGTACTCATTGTTATTCGTGTAATTCTTTCTTTCAATGGTGACAAATAGATATACAACAAGGCGTTCTCCAATTCAACAACTTCTACATGTATAATTCATTCAGCGCCATTGATTATACTCTCCGCCTTGTACAACCATGACTGCTATCCCTCTCCACATCGTTCCACCACCACTAACATGAACCAGCGCTCCCTAAGCCAAAACTCTTTCTCCTCCACTCGTGAGAACCGTTGCTCAGGTTTGGCTGCTTCTTGTTGCTTTTAAATAGGTTTCTTGATAGATCACTCACCTATCATACACCTCCATAGGTAAATCACTTTTTAAGAGAGTTCTGCAGACATCATCACAGCCAGGTCTGATGTTCCTTCCCCCGCCCCGTCCTCACTGTTCCTGATAAACCATTAGTTGATCTTTTCTAGTGTTGGTTTCTACAAGAATCATAAATACAGTAAGCCTGGTGTAGACCAGGGCCTGTGTAAGGCGGGAACCTGTGGAGAACGAAAAGTCAGAGAGCGATAGGAAAGTGGTCAAGGCAGCCCCCTGGCCGAGGCCGAACATGCGTGAGATCAGAAGGCCCAGACCCTGCCCTCGCCGGCTCTCACAGGGTTCGTGGGGCATGGATGGGGACAGAGCCTGCCCCCCCCCACCTCACCCTTCCCTCCTCTCCCACAGGGCTGCCTGTCTTGCCTGGGCTCTGTCTGTGGCCTTCACCCGGATGCTGCCCCTCAAGCCAAACAGGGACAGGCCCAGCCCGGTGCTAGAAGATTCCACAGGTAGATAAATCATATTTTTATCACTTTCCTCGGGCTCTACGCATTTCCCCACGGAGCAGAGGGAGCGCTGCCCCAGTGTGCGGTCTTTGGGTCACTTGGGAAGGGGGAAGGGCTTTCCTCTGGAGGTCCCGGGGGCCGAGAGCCACGCGCTGGTTGGTGGCATCCGTGGGAGGCTCTGACTCAGGAGCGTGTTTCCGTCATGAGAACCAGCACACGGGGTGTTGGAGCTCTTGTCAGAGCCCGGCCAGGCTTGGGGGCAGCATGTCCATCACCTCCTCCGGTGGCAGTATGGGGGAGCCTGGTGGCACAGCGGGTGACACCTTGGGCTGCTAAGCTCAAGGTCAACCGTTCAAAACCCCCAGTTGCTCCAAGAGAGAAAGATGAGGTCTTGGACACCCCCAGGGGTAGTTCTACTCTGTCCTGCTGGGTGGGTGGGCCTGGGAAACCCCTTGGGGGCAGCGAGTTCAGGGCAGCCCGGGGCAGTGGGTGGCTTGTCTGAGAGGCCACAGCAACAAGGGCGGGGAGCCGGGGTTTCAACTCAGCTGTGTGCTCCAGCATCTGCATACACCGCTGCCACGGATGCCACAAGGTGAGCACACGTTTCCTGAGGGCCACGCCACGCGCCTGCGTAAGCACCGGCGCAGGCTTCTCCATGTGCCTCTTTCAAACACGGAGCTGAGCCAAAGCTTCTCACTGCAAACCGGGTGAAAGTTGACCGAGCAAATCAGTTTTCCATCCAACACTCCGACATAGTTTGCTTTGATCGCCATCCCCACCACGTCCACCACTGACGTGTTTTCTTGATAGCAAGGGTTCTGGAGGTGGTGCTTAGGTGCCATCGAGCCGGCCTCGGCCTCAGGGCGACCCCATAAATAAGGGAACGGAATGCTGCCAGGCCATGACCGTCACCGCAGCGGTCCTCTAGACCATGCGGTCCATGCTGTGCTTTTCAGAAGAGGTTGCCAGGCCTTTCTTCCTACTGCACCGTAGATGGACAGCTCCATCTACACCTGCCTGTTCAGCAGCAGAGCAACCCACAATCCTCCAGCGACGGACGGGAGTGGCTGTCCATGGCGTGCATTGGCTAGGAATGGGACTCCAGTCTCTCCCATGGGTGGGGAGAGCTCTCCCACTGAACCACCCGTTCCTCCTGACCCCCAACGAGGGAAGTCCAAGGATGATGCCCATTTCAAAGAAGAGGAAGTGGAGTCTGGGGGAGGTTAGGTGACTTACCCTGGCCCTCACCCAAATCCAGGGCACCATGACCTTGATGCTTTTCTTGGCAGCTTAAATGTTTCTGTGGAAAGAGCAATCTACCCAGGAGCTAAGATTTTCATCTTTCCATTTCTTCGGTTGTCAAAGAAGTATGTCTGATTTCAGCTCCTTAGCAACTCTATCCTGTCAGGGAGGCCTGGGTTGGGCTCTCTTTGCGGGAGACACATCCCATCCAACAAGATCCCGTGCGTGAAGCCAAACTCTCACTTGATATTTTTGTTCCATGTAAGTACAGAAAACGCCAGTGTACCTGGCATGAAACCATGAATTTTCATAATCATCACTAGTATTCGCCTATACTGAACACAGGATAAGGTCCTAAGGTACTGTGCTGAACACGTTAGACATAATTCATACCTTTTCATGGAACTTTTAGTCTATGTGTTGGGGAGGGAGGGAACAGGTAAATCAGTCATCAGCACCATGATCAGCCTGCTGAAAGGACACACACATCTGTCTCTGAAGAAGTACGGCCAGCGTGCTCCCGGGAGGCAAGGATGGCGAGACCGCCTCTTACACACTTTGGACGTGTGGTCAGGAGAGACCAGTCCCCAGAGAAGGACACCGTGTTCGGTAAAGCTGAGGGGCAGCGAAAAAAGAGGAAGGCTCTCCACAAGATGGCTCGACACGGTGGCTGCAACCGTGGGCTGCAATGTGGGAACAATTGTGAGGCTGGCGCAGGCCAGGGCAGTATTTCGTCCAGTTGCGCATGAGGTCGCTATGGGTCAGACTCGGTGCCCCAACAGCCATGATAGCAACAACAACATCACTACCCTGGCCTTCACGGTCACCAGCACCCCCAGCACCACAACATCATCAATTCACTGGGACATGGAACGGAAGTGGTGTTTGCTTCCTATTACGTCACATGGCTCCCTAGTTCCCACTGCCAAACACTGGCTGGATGTTACGATCACTCGGACCTCAGCACTCCAAGAAGGCCCCGAGCCAGCAGCATTGGCACCCCCGAGGTTGGCTCTCAAGCCCCATGTCCCACCTGCAGCGCAGCGTCTGCCTTTCAACAGCCCCCAAGAGATTTCTAGGCACACTGGAGAAGCCCCACCCTGAGGGTCCTTCTCTGCCCGGTGTTCTGTCAACTGTGGCTTCTGCAAGGAGTCAAGGGTCGCTCTGGGCTTGTCCAGTACACCCACCAGGCCCTCCTCTAGCCACGCCCCTGGAGCCGGCCTGGGAGAGAAGTCTGACTGCTCTTCTCCTGTCTCCAGGTGAGGTCGAGTGCTTCTCAGACTACATGACCCTGTGGCTGCCACGGAGACATGCGGAGGGTTTGAGGCAGTGGCTGGGCAGAGAGCTGCAGTTGCCAGGTAAGTAGTGGGTGGGCCTTGGTCTAGAAAGAGACCCCTCCAGTGCATACCTCACACCCTTTGTGTCGCCTTCCCTCTTCCTGGAAGGCTCATCCCCATGGGTCAGGGGTGGTCCTTACGGTCATTCCAAACTCTGCTCCAGCATCACCTCCCCCAAGAGGCCTTCCTGGCTTTCTGTCGCAAGGAGCCCCTCCCATCCCTGGCCTGTTTTCTTCCCAAAGGATCTTCTAGGATTGTTTGCTTATGTGTTGGTCATCAACCCCCCAGTAGAAGGCAGCTCCCTGAGGGCAACGCTCACGTGTTTCTTGTTGGGTTTCCAGAATGGAGACCACTGCCTTGTGTCTAGTTGACACTCAGCAAATATTTGTTGACTCCTCCGAGAGCCTGGAGCCTGAGCAGATATCCAGCCCTGCTGCCGCTCCATCTCAAAAGCTGAAGCCCCCGAGAAAAGTAATGGATAGGAGGACTGAAAGGAGCGGTTCTTTAAACACACACACACACACACACACACACACACACACACACACACACATAAAAGATGTACATTAGGCGAAGGCTTACCGAACAGATCATC